AGCAATACCATTGTCCTTTTCTTGTAAGACTATTATACTGCTGCAATTAGAAACAATTACTTCTCACTGCCAGCAATACCATTGTCCTTTTCTTGTAAGACTATTATACTGCTGCAATTAGAAACAATTACTTCTCACTGCCAGCAATACCATTGTCCTTTTCTTGTAAATTTGTTGTTTTATTTCAATAATATTGATAAAAATAAGAATATTATACTACTATTATATAAGCTACTACTACTGCTTATAAAAATAATTAACATTTATATGAAATGTTTTTGAAAATTATTTCTCAAAACCTGTGGATCTAACAGCAAGCCATGATTTGTACGAGTGTTAAAATCAGTCTTTATTGACGTTTCACAAATCAGAGAAAGGTTTCAAGAATCCTAAACATGGATCTAGTAGTTCTACAAATAGCTTAGAATAATCTAGCCCATCCCAGGTTAGATGTGTCTAGGTGTTGTAGCTTTAGAGCCAGACCACTTCTAGTGTGACATGGACTCTAAAAAAAGTGTTAGAAATTGACTTTATTGAGGTTTCACAAGTCAGACCAGGTTTTAATTATTCTACCAACAGTTCAGAATAATATACGGTAATCCAGGTTTGATGTGTCCAGGTGTTGCAGTTTTTAATGAGAGTAGATTAGGTAGGGAAAAATTAAGTGAAATTGCCCTTTACTCATTCCCTGAATCGGAGGCCAACTTCAGCTCCTACTGCATTGGTGCTTTTGGTCCATGTGCATTCAGTTAAAATATTTTCAGTTAAAATATATATCTATTCTAGCACAACATAACCTCCTCAAAATGATTAAATTTTTGATGAACCACAGCACACCAGCAATGTGAGACAAACACATGGCTTGTAACATCATCCTCCTGATCAAAAATAAGAATAAAAAAAACGATGAATCCACCGAAAAATCCTCACAGTTGTTTATCAATACCAGAATTTTAACAAATCTGGATTATTTATATACTATTCATCAAATGTTTATAAAAATGGAGGGTGCCTTGTAAATGTACTCTAAGCCTAAAAATATTTAATACCGGTAAGAAAAAGATGATACATGCACATATTGTTTATGAAAACCACAATCCCAGTTCCACATCCTGTAAAGACCACCGTCTATGAGGCCCACTCGAGTTGCATGTCAGCAGAGAACCGCTATGAATCACCAGTCACCACCAAAAGCAGGCAACCGTTGTTAATAATAGCCAACAAAATGTCATCCATAACAGACTTTTCTCCTAATGAATACAAGTTAGTTTATTCATCGTAAAGAGTCACAAAAAACAAAGCATCAAGAAATTTTAGAAAAAAGGGGCTGGTTTATACATAGAGTAAATCTGTCTACAAGATTGGTTCGAA